TCACTTTCTGGTGTTCCTTATCTTGTTCTTGACACTCTCTGGTGTTTCTCTACTTTTTCTCATTGCTCTGTGGTGTTTCTCATCTCTTTCTCATTGTTTTCTGGTGTTTTTAATTTCTTTCTCATCACTCTCTGGTTTTTCTCATCTTGTTCTCATCACTCTGTGGTTTTTCTCATCTTGTTTTCATTGCTCTCTTGTGTTTCTCATCTCTTTCTCATTGCTCTCCTGTGTTTCTCTTTTTTTCTCATCACTCTCCAGTGTTTCTCATCTCTTTCTCATCACTTTCTAGTGTTTCTCATCTCTTTCTCATTGCTCTCCTGTGTTTCTCTTTTTTTCTCATCACTCTCCAGTGTTTCTCATCTCTTTCTCATCACTTTCTAGTGTTTCTCATCTCTTTCTCATTGCTCTCCTGTGTTTCTCTTTTTTTCTCATCACTCTCCAGTGTTTCTCATCTCTTTCTCATCACTTTCTAGTGTTTCTCATCTCTTTCTCATTGCTCTCCTGTGTTTCTCTTTTTTTCTCATCACTCTCCAGTGTTTCTCATCTCTTTCTCATTACTTTCTGGTGTTCCTTATCTTGTTCTTGACACTCTCTGCTGTTTCTCATCTCTTTCTCATCTCTCTCTGGAGTTTTTCTTATCTTGTTCTCATCTCTCTCCAGTGTTTCTCAGTTCTTTCTCATCACTTTCTGGTGTTCCTTAGTTTGTTCTTGACACTCTCCAGTGTTTCTCATCTCTTTCTCATCACTTTCTGGTGTTTCTTATCTTGTTCTTGACATTCTCTGGTGTTTCTCTACTTTTTCTCATTGCTCTGTGGTGTTTCTCATCTCTTTCTCGTTGTTTTCTGGTGTTTTTAATTTCTTTCTCATCACTCTCTGGTTTTTCTCATCTTGTTCTCATCACTCTGTGGTTTTTCTCATCTTGTTTTCATTGCTCTCTTGTGTTTCTCATCTCTTTCTCATCGCTCTCTGGAGTTTTACTCATCTCTTTTTCATCACTTTCTGGTGTTTCTCATTTTTTCCTCATCATTCTCCAGTGTTTCACATCTCTTTCTCATCACTTTCTGGTGTTCCTTATCTTGTTCTCACTACTTTCTGGTGTTTCTTATTTTTTCCTAATCATTCTCCAGTGTTTCTCATCTCTTTCTCATCACTCTCCAGTGTTTCTCATCACTTTCTCGTGTTTCTTATCTTGTTCTTGACATTATCTGGTGTTTCTCTAATTTTTCTCATTGCTCTGTGGTGTTTCTCATCTCTTTCTCATTGTTTTCTGGTGTTTTTAATTTCTTTCTCATCACTCTCTGGTTTTTCTCATCTTGTTCTCATCACTCTCTGGTGTTTCTCTACTTTTTCTCATTGCTCTGTGGTGTTTCTCATCTCTCTCTCGTCACTTTCTGGTGTTCCTTATCTTGTTCTTGACACTCTTTGGTGTTTCTCTACTTTTTCTCATCTCTATCCAGTGTTTCTCAGTTCTTTCTCATCACTTTCTGGTGTTCCTTAGTTTGTTCTTGACACTCTCCAGTGTTTCTCATCTCTTTCTCATCGCTCTCTGGAGTTTTACTCATCTCTTTTTCATCACTTTCTGGTGTTTCTTATCTTGTTCTTGACATTTTCTGGTGTTTCTCTACTTTTTCTCATCTCTATCCAGCGTTTCTCAGTTCTTTCTCATCACTTTCTGGTGTTCCTTAGTTTGTTCTTGACACTCTCCAGTGTTTCTCATCTCTTTCTCATCACTTTCTGGTGTTCCTTAGTTTGTTCTTGACACTCTCCAGTGTTTCTCATCTCTTTCTCATCGCTCTCTGGAGTTTTACTCATCTCTTTTTCATCACTTTCTGGTGTTTCTTATCTTGTTCTTGACACTCTTTGGTGTTTCTCTACTTTTTCTAATCTCTCTCCAGTGTTTCTCAGTTCTTTCTCATCAATTTCTGGTGTTCCTTATCTTGTTCTTGACACTCTCTGGTGTTTCTCTACTTTTTCTCATTGCTCTGTGGTGTTTCTCATCTCTCTCTCATCACTTTCTGGTGTTCCTTAGTTTGTTCTTGACACTCTCTGGTGTTTCTCATCGCTCTCTGGAGTTTTTCTTACCTTGTTCTCACTCCTCTCTGGTGTTTCTCGTTTTTTTTCTCATCACTCACCAGTGTTTCTCATCTCTTTCTCATCACATTCTGGTGTTTCTTATCTCGTTCTTGACACTCTCTTGTTTTTCTCTACTTTTTATCATTGCTCTGTGATGTTTCTCATCTCTTTCTCATTGTTTTCTGGTGTTTCTCATCTTGTTCTCACCACTCCCTGGTGTTTCTCAGTGTTTCTCGTCTTTTTCTCATTGCTCTCTGGAGTTTCTTATCACTTTCTCATTGTTTTCTGGTGTTTTTCATTTCTTTCTCATGAATCTCTGGTGTTTCTCATCTTGTTCTCCTCACTCTCCAGTATTCTCATCTCTTTCTGGTGTTTCTTATCTTGTTCTAACCACTCTCTGGTGTTTCTCATCTTTTTATCATTGCTCTGTGGAGTTTCTCATCTCTTTCTCATCACTCGTTGCTGTTTCTCATCTTGTTATCATCGCTCTCTAAGGTTTCTAATCTAGTTCTTGTGTTGTAGGTTATAACGTTGTGGTTCGAATTCCTGCTGGTGCAACCAACATCGATATAAAACAGGTCAGCTACTCAGGATTGCCAGAAGATGATAACTACCTCGGTGAGTTAGTACAGATAACAGACCAGATTACCCTGGTAATACCACAGTACTCTGACACGTGTTATATATACTGAATGATTGCTGTGTTTATATGCCATGATATTTACGTGGCACTCAAATGAAGAATACCATGCTATTGCAATGGCACATGTCCAGAACAGCTGTGGTATTACAATGCTGCTTCACCGTGACTCTTCCGGGAATTCGGGGTCACAGGGAGAGCAAACACCGGATGATTGACAGACGCCGAGGTGCTAATGAAAGTGAGCAAGCGTGTCCAGGACATTTGTGTAGCTGTTCACACTCGAGTCAAAAGGCCAAATAAACACAAACACACACAGCTGATGAATGAGACATGACCTAAGTTCACTGTCCAGGTCTGGGCCTGTATTCACAAACCATTTAATCTTACCACTAAGAGTTTTCTCTTGAAACCTATTCACAAAGCTGCTGAGACAAACGTGTACTAAGGAACAGACGGAAGTCTTAAGCTCAGAGTAAGGGGGGTTAACCTCATTGCTATGGAGGATGTCAGCGTGCTTATTAACTATGCACACAGTGATTGGCTGATAGTCTCTGTCGGAGATTTATTTATAGAAATATTGTAGAGTACAATATTATGTTGCCATATTCAAATAAAGGTTTAAAAATAAAAATGTTGTCGTATTCAAATAAAGATTTTAAAATGCAGGCTAAGTGTCACTAATTAAACAAGTATATGCTTAGCTAATTGTCAGCCTCTTATATGTGTGCTTCTCATAATTAGTGAATATGCATATAAACAGCCTTTTAATTAACAGTAGAATAATCATGGCTGATAGTAAGACATGCAAACGTAAAAGAAAACCAAACTGGACACATGAGCATCTGTTATTTCTTGCCCAGCTGGTTAATGAAAACAAGGATATAATCAAGTTGAGTTGGGATAACCTCCAAAACCAAAGGCGATACCTTTTTAAAAGCTCATTATCGTCAAATGCTTATGCTCCGAGGCAGATTGCTGTCAACAGCTATTTTAGGATAGTTTGTGGTTTGATCTTAGGAGTCCTCTTTAATACTCCTAACCTTTCACAGATTTAGGTGCTAGTTTTAGCGCTAAAACAATTAGAGCAAAAAATTATCCTAAATCTAGGACTGACATTATTTGTAAGATTTTCTCCTAAATCGGCGAGTTATGAGCTACTTTTAGCTTTGAGATGTTTTATGAATAAAGGCCCTGATTTTTCTCATCTGCAGCTCTGTCTGACAATCAGTCCAACTTCCTCCTGAACGGGAACTTCGTGGTGTCCATGTTTAAAAGGGAAATCACCTTTAAGGGAGCAGAGATCGAGTACAGCGGATCTAACACCACGGTTGAGCGGATCAACTGCACGCAGCGGATCGAGGAGGAGCTCGTGCTGCAGGCAAGTGAACTACACCAAACACAGCCAATCTGAAGAAGTTCACAGTGAAATGACACAAAACCACAGCACAGTTTTAGACTAATGAGCTGTCAAGCATCACATGATGAACAGAAACCAGTCAACCAGCTAGATATCTTGTTGTGCATCACCTGGTTAGGGCACACTGCAAGTTTTTATTGGTATCTTTGTTTTCAGTAAAAATATAACTAATAGGTAGATTACCTAAGAATCCAAATTGTGTGAGCATTGTGTGAGAATAAGACCAGTATTATTTAGTTATTTTAGTATTATTTATATACTATTATAGTTTTTATTAATATTTTGAATGAGCTTTTATTTTTAGATTTTCAGTTTTCATTTTCATTTTAGTTTTAGTGTGTTGTAGATTTTATATAAAAATCAAATATAATTTTAAACAGTAACATATACATTTCTTTAAAAAACATTTTATGGTTTTGAAATAGTTAAATATTTAGCTTTAATTTGTTCATCTCGGTTTTAGTTATTTTAGTGCTACAATGTAAACTTTTTTTTGTTTTTACATGAAAAAAAGTTTTCATGTAATATTTATATTTTGTTTTATTTAAGCTTTTTCAATTAATTAAAATGATTTTATATAAAAATTGTGAACCATATACATTGATTTTAGTTTTTAGTTTTTTTAATAATAGCTTTATTTTTGTTTATTTTTAATAAAAAGTTTTTACATGAAAAAAGTGTTCATGTAATATTTATATTTTGTTTTATTTAAGCTTTTTCAATTAATTAAAATTATTTTATGTAAAAATTTTGTGAACCATATACATTGATTTTAGTTTTTAGTTTTTTTAATAATAGCTTTATTTTTGTTTATTTTTAATAAAATAGTTTTTTATACAAAATATATTTTTATAATAAAATATACATTAATAAAACAAATTTTAGTTTTTTAAATAATTTAAATATGTAGCTTACTTATTTTTATTTCAATTTTAGTGCTTCAACTTAAACATTGTTTCAGTTAGTTGACAAGGCAAAAAAGTTTGTTTTTCCATGTAATATTTTTATTTTATTTCAGCTTTATTACAAGTAATTAAACTGATTTTTTTAGTTTTTTTGTTTTAGTTAATAATACCAAGACTGAATAAGTCTTTATTCAGGGAATATGTCTTGATTTAAGAATGCTTAGATATGTTTTCCTGGAAAAAAGACAAAAATGCTGATAAATGAAATGATTAATTAATAAAATGCCTTTATACAATGATTCTGCAGTATAATAACACTGACATATCTTCATCTGAGGGAGATTTACAGGCTTCCTGTGTAATGCATCTGTTGTCGTCTCAGGTTCTGTGCGTGGGAAACCTGTATAATCCTGACGTCAGATATTCCTTCAGTATTCCCATCGAGGAGCAGAGAGAGCAGTTCGTGTGGGATCTGTCAGGCCCCTGGCAGGAGTGCAGCCGCATGTGTCAAGGTGCCGCTTCTGTTTGGGCATTTTGCCTGGTTTTCTGTCCTTAAACACCTTTTTAGCTGAAAGCAAGCCACTTCCACGTCATCTGTGTGTGTTTGTCTGCAGGTGAGCGGCGGCGGAAGGCCGTGTGTGTTCGTAAGAGTGATCATTTGGTGGTTTCGGAGCAGAGGTGTGAGAATCTACCTCGACCCAGAGGCACGACGGAGCCCTGCAATACTGACTGTGAACTCAGGTACAAGCACACGACGTCTCTCATGCTTTATATGAGTAATGCAGCACTCCCATACTAGTGATGCAGCAAAAGGAGAACTTCAAATTCTGCAAACACTGAATTGACTGAAAATATTTTCATTTTAAATGTTTGATTTGATATTCAGTCTTTGTTTGGAATAACTATTATTTTTCTAAGTGGTAACAAATGTTTTCCCTTCGATTAGTGTCACTACAAAAGCATCTCGGATCCACCAGCACAAAATATTGTGTAATATTGTAAAAATATTTTACACTTTTGATATTTTTGCATTTTATGTGCTTTAATCATTTTATTTATTTATTTTATATTTTAAATATTTAATTTTCTTAAATTTTTATTTCAGTTTTATTAATTTTAGTGCTTTAAGTTGAACTTATTTTATTTCAATACGTTGCCAAGGTAACGTTTCTCTTTTTTTTGCATTTAGATACATTTGCATTGTCATTTAGCAGATGATTTTATCCAAAGTGACTTACAAACTATGACAGTATTAGTGTTGATAAAGGTTTCACAGAGGTTTTGGACACTTCCTTTCACTTTTTATCATAAATCAGAAAATACCGTAACAGCCATAAAAAAAATTTTAGGAACAAAATGTAATATAAATAAATGGGATTGACATGTGAACAAACCTCCCTGTAAAACAAAAAGGAAAGTCTGGTGTATGTAAGTGCTACTGAAGTGGGAATATTCGGCTCAGTGCATGAGAAAAAGTTCATTAGAAACAGACTTTATAGAAACGTATTGTAATTGTTACTTTTCTTTCCACTAGTCATGTTATGGAGGCAAAATAGCCCAAAATCTCCATATTGGCCAGTGCATGTAAAAAGCATAATATTTTATTTGACTTTAAAAAGAGGTTTTTCTTTAGGTGGTGCTGCCTAAAGGAAATGCTCTGAAATTAAAATATTGTTTACATGTGATATTACAGTTGTGTGGGAGGACAAAATAGTCAACCTATTCACACTGGGGTTGATGACAGTGAAGACAGTGCATCACCCACTGTAATATTTTACATTATTTAAGCATTGTTTAAATTAATTAGCAGGATTTAAAATAGTTAATTAGTTAGTAATAACAACAACCCTGATGCAAGTCACATCAGCTACTAATGTGAACTATTTTCCATCAATATCCTCCAACATTACCGGCTTTTACATTAAATATAATTCCATGTTCAATCATTCCTAATGCATGCATTTTTTAACACTATACACTTTTTAAGTTATTAAAAAAACAACAAAGTTTATTACTTTTACAAGAATATACTACTTCAGTCTTTCCACTTCAAAATTTCACATTTAATACAATGTGTTACTTGCAGTTTCTTTGTAATTAATTGTGAAATTTACAAGCAATTTCTCAGACAAAATTGCTTATACAGCAGTTTTTTCAGTACATTTCAAAGATTATGTTGCTGTATGTTAAAGCTCACATTTCTATTTATTATAGCCAAGAAACAGAGGAAATGTAATTGCATTTGCTGCCAAAACATTTTCATGAAATATTTGCATTTGTACACTACATTCAAGTTGCTGATTCATGCTGATTTCCCATAGAAACCTCAGACTGTCTTTGTCATGCATATTTTAGTGCAGTTCCCACCCAGTTGCAGTTTGAAATTGTTAGGAAAGCAATTTGTCTGACTTTTAAGAAGTGAATCATCAACTAGATATATATATAGATATATATAACATTTTGTATGGATGCAAATATCTCGGTCATGAGCATTTTTTGGCAGAAAATGCGATTACATTTCCTTGGTTTCTCAGCTAAAAATGTAAACACAACAGAAAAAAAACACTTAGCACTAACCAAATGTTCTGAACACTGGCTGTGTGTGTTTTTCTCTCCTCCTCAGGTGGCACGTGGCGGGCCGGAGCGACTGCTCCAGTAAGTGTGGTCCGGGTTACCGTACGCTGGATGTTCTGTGCATGCGCTACATCCAGAACAAGAGGCTAAGCGAGCGCATGGAGGCCAGGGCCTGCGCAGAGCTGCCCAAACCGCAGACGCGCGAGGGATGTCATGGAGACTGTCTGCTCAAGAGCTGGCAGTACAGCGCCTGGTCTCAGGTGACGCACGATACAGCTCATATCCTCCGTTATTCTTCACCCTGAGCTCTATATAATAATAATATAGATAGATAGATAGATAGATAGATAGAGAGAGAGATACTGTCAACAGCCTTAAAAAAATCACCATGTTTATAGGATTACAATTTTGTATATAACCAGTGTGAATGAACAAACCCCTCAGAAAACTTTGAGAATATAGATATTAATAAATCTGCTAAGTTTTATGTATGTAAGTGATACTGAAGTGGAGACACAAACTCATTATGTTTTAGAAACAAATGTTTTGTTTTGTTTTGTTTTTTGTTTTAAAAACTACAACTAATTAAAAAAAACTGCAAATTAATAAAAAAAAACTATTATAAAAATGCTATATAGATGTCTTTTTAAAAAACTACTGAAAATGACAAAAACATGACAAAATTACTAAAATTTTTACCTAAAATTAAAGAGAAAACAGAAAATATAAAAATAAAATATAAAATCTGGGGGGAAAACCGCTATAATTTGTCTGTATTTTTCTTGCCAAAGATACTATAGGGAATATTTTTTAAACAATTCTATAAATGCATTTTAAACAATACTAAATTTAATCGTTATTAATCAAATTGGAATTAAGACTTATAAAACCAGGCGAATGATATATGAACAAACCCCTCTATAAAAATCTTCAGAATATAGATATGAATAAATCTGCTAAGTTTTATGTATATAAGTGCTGCTGAAGTGGAGAAACAAACTCATTTTTAGAAAACGGCCTTTAAAGATATGCATTGTAATTGAAATCTATAGACGCAAATAGATAAAGTGCAATAATAAAATTTGTGTGAATGATATGAACAAACCCCTCAGTAAAAACCTTCAGAATATAGAGAAGAATACAACTCTAAGTTTTGGTGTGTGTAAGTTCTGCTGAAGTGGTGGAAAAACCTTTTAAAGATATGGATTGTAATCTAAATCTACAAACACAAATAGATAGTGTTATAAAATAAACTCTTTCCACTAGTCTAAAATAAAATAAAATATCCCAGAATTTCCCATTTGAGCAGTGCATGGAAAAATAATGTCTGTAGTGTCTTGCCTTTAAATGATGAAGTGAAGTAAATATATAAGGATCTGTAAATTTGCACATTATTTTTATGCTGTTTAAGTTTTGGTGTGTGTAAGTTCTGCTGAAGTGGTGGAAAAACCTTTTAAAGATATGGATTGTAATCTAAATCTACAAACACAAATAGATAGTGTTATAAAATAAACTCTTTCCACTAGTCTAAAATAAAATAAAATATCCCAGAATTTCCCATTTGAGCAGTGCACGGAAAAATAATGTCTGTAGTGTCTTGCCTTTAAATGATGAAGTGAAGTAAATATATAAGGATCTGTAAATTTGCACATTATTTTTATGCTGTTTCTCCTGATTATGTGCCGTTTTGTAATGCGATGTGATTGTGGTTGCAGTGCTCGAAGAGCTGCGGACACGGCGTCCGGACGCGGCAGGCGTACTGTATGAACAATCTGGGTCGCAGGCTGGTGGAGCGAGAGTGTAGCGAGCAGCAGAGAGTCCTGAGCGAACCCTGCAATGACGTGCCCTGTCCTGACTGGAGCGCCAGCGAATGGAGCGAGGTACTGACCACAGCTGAACCAGACGCTAATCACATCCAACCGTACTTATATTCTGAAGCATCATGATGCCCTCTTGCTGTTTTGAGCTGGTGTTTCTTATAGTAGTATACTAGTTGAACACCAGGGTTATTATAGATAAATAACCATATAAAAATAATTATAAAAAAACATAAATAATATTTCATTACTTGGGAAGAAAACTGAAATAGAATAAAATATATATATTAAAATACATCTTTTATTTCAGCTAATTGCCAAGTTAAGAGTTCTCATTTTCAATTACTTTAACTTGATGGAAGTAAACTAAATAAACCAAGACTATAAAGAATAAAAGTGAAAAAAGAAACTACAAAAAATGACAAAAACACCCAACAAAATGACTGAAAATTAACAAAATTAACTTTAAAATGAAAGCAGAAAATGTAAAAAAAAAAAAAACTAATTCAAAATATTAACATTTACATATTATCAGACGACGTTTTATGTTTCACATGACAACAAATATAAATTCAATTAATTTTCAGGTTATGAAAATGTAATCTCTAATTTGTCTGTATTTTCCTTGCTAAAGATACATTGGGGAAAGTTTTTAAACAATCCTATAAATGCATTTTAAAAAATACTAAATTGAATCGTTTTGAATTGAATCATTCTGAATTTGTGAAAAATTGCTTTTGAATTTAAACAAATTGTACTAACACGAATAAAATTAAATAAAGATTAATAAATAAAAATGAATACATACTACATGGACATATTAATAGAATACACAAAAAAACTAATAAAACTGACAAGAAAACTAAACTAAAAAAGAGACAAAAATGAACAAAATGGCTAATTACTAATATTAGAAAAATGTGAAAAATTACTAAAAACTAAAAACACCACAAATTGCTGAAACTTTTATATTAAAATGAAAACAGAAAATATTAAAATAAAATATATTTTAAAATATTAACGCAAATTATAGTACTATATCAGTGCTACACAGTATCATTACAAACATTATGAACACTATAGATGTGCAGTTTTTTAGTTCCTCTCACTCTACGACAAATCCTTTAAATTGAACCATATTTATAACATAACATGAATGATAAATATGAATATAAAACAAACATAAATTATAGTGGCATTCATTTTAAACAATATTTGTTATAAACGCAAAGCTTCACGTTTATTTAAAGTGAAACTTAAACTAGCACTATGTGGGAAATGCGCTAAACAAATGAATGTGGGCTCATGTACCTCTCTGATTCGACACCAATCCAACTTTTTATTTATTTATTTATTTATGACATTAATTGCATATATAAGTTGCCTATAAAAAAAAAAGTGACTTGTTTTCCGGAGAATACGGTACTTTGAGACTCTGTGCATCTGTTCACATCAGTGTCTGGTGACATGCGGGAAGGGCGTCAGACACCGACAGGTGCTTTGCATTCTGGGAGACGAGAAGCTGAATGAGCAGCGCTGTGACCCAAACACCAAACCCTCGGCAGTGGGCAGCTGTGAGCTTCCCGAATGTGCATCCTGGCAGGTCGGAGCCTGGAGTCCGGTGAGAAACAGACGCTCGGTTCCTTTGTCATGTCAGTTTCTGTCACCAGACGTTCTGAATGGGAATGATGGTGTTTTTAGTGCACGGTGAGCTGCGGTCAGGGCTATCAGATGCGTGCGGTCAGGTGTGTGTCAGGAGCTTACGGCGAGACAGTGGACGACAGGGATTGTAACGCAGCCGCCAGACCTCGAGACAGTCAGGTGAACAAACACAATCACGTGCTCCATCTGCACTAGTGCTCAAATCACGATTTTTAATGGTTTTAATGAAAGTAGTCTCTTCTGCTCACAAAGGCTGCATTTATTTGATCAAACATACAGTAAAAATTGTGAAATATTATTACAATTTCAAATAGCTGTTTTCTGTGTGAATTTATGTTAAAGTGTAATTTATTCCTGTGATCAAAGCTGTATTTTCAGCATCATTACTCCAGTCTTCAGTGTCACATGATCTTCAGAAATCAGTATAAGATTCAAAAGTTTGGGGGTCAGATTTTTAAAAAAGTTAAAAATTAATACTTTTATTTAGCAACGGGGCATTCAATTGATCAAAAGTGACAACAAGACATTTATAACATTACAAAAGATTTCAATTTCAAATAAATGCTGTGCTTTTTATTTTATTTTATTTTATTTTTTTTTTAATTTTTTTTTTTTTAATATTTTTTTATTTTATTTTATGTTTAGTTAGTTTCTTTTCTGTAGTGTTTCATTAAGTTATTTTAATTTTAATAGTTTCATAAACTAGCCTTATTTTAGTTAGTTGCCAAGGAAAAATTCGTTAAACTGAAAAGTTTTTTAAGTTTAAGTTTTTCATCTAATATTTAATTTAATTTAATTTAATTTAATTTAATTTAATTTAATTTAATTTAAAAATAAAGGTGCTTCACGATGCCATAGAAGAACATTTTTTGTCTAAATGATTCCGTAAAGAACCTTTAACATCTGGAAAAGCTGTTTCTGTTTCACAAAAGGTTCTTTGTGGTGAAAGAGGGTTCTTCAGATTATAAAAAGTATGAAAGAGATGGTTCATAAAAGAACCTTGGTTCTTTGTGGAATCAAAAATGGTTCTTCTATGGCATCACTGTGAAGAACCTTTTAAGCACCTTTATTTTTAAGAGTGTAGTGTATGTTGCCACAAATTAGGACCTTATAGATTAGAATCTTGTAGAGCAGAATCCTGCAGAGGTAACCACTAGAACAGAATCCTATAGGATCCTATAGAATTATGAAGAACTGAACCCTGAGGCACAGAGCTCTACAGTTCAGACTCTTCTGATGAGCAGTCAGTATTTGAGGACGTTGCTCACATGACATGACTGTGGTTTGAAACGGTCACATGCAGCACGTTAGGAGACCACCATCAGTCACAACAGACTGGAGCCGCTCGAACACTCGAGGTCAGCGTACATCTGGACGTGACGTAACTCCAGAACGCCTTTGCTGCTTTATCTTTTGTAATACACGTGTGACTTTTTTTGATCTCTGACTGCTGTGTGAGTCACATTGTGTGTTTGTCTTTTTGAGTTGGAAGGAGAGTGTGTGTGTTTGAAGGAAAAGCGTGTGTTTGTGCAAGTGTGTAATCTCTCATGGTTAAAATCTCTCCCATCTGTCCTCTGTGTGTGGGAATGCTTACGCACACTAACAATATGCTCGTTTAACAAATGCTGTTCTGTCTAGGGATGCTCAAAACCATCACTAGTCTGTGGCTTTTCTGAATGAATAGTAGATTAAGGACATCCTATGTAATTAGGGTGGCTGTGTTTTGCTGATGTGCTTTTAATTCACTTTAGCTTAATTTTTAACATCTATTTGAATGTGGCGGGATGGAATTAAAGACAAATACGTGCAAGTAAAATGTATTTATATAGCATTTCACAATCTCCCTTCATGATGGTGAGCATTTCACAAGATGATAAATTATTTTTATTTTCTTATTTTCTTTTAATTTATTTTAATTTATTTTAATTTAATTTAATTTAATTTAATTTAATTTAATTTAATTTATTTAATTTTATTTAATTTAATTTAATTTCATTTAATTTAATTTTATTTAATTTTATTTTATTTTATTTAATTTTATTTTTTGTGTAATGTTTCTCATCAAATTTATATTTCACTGTGATGTTTCTGACAATAAGGAGCTACTAGATTATTAAAACTTAATTTGTATGATCAGTAAATACCATGTAATTTAAACCCAACTGTGAAGCAATTACACTCACTATTATCCTCTCTTCAAAAAGCTTTAAAAACATCCCGCATTATAGAACAATTTTTCAATAAATTGTCATTTTTATTTATTTGCTTTCCCCTGTATTCCCCCACTTGTTTTTGTTCTGTAATGCTGTATATTTGTTAAGATTTGTGAAAAAAAAAAGTTTTAGTTAACATTACGCTGGTAAAAGAGGAAAATGATGTGCTACATAAAGCTACATAAAATACAACCATTCTGAATATGCACATATTTTTTCACACAAATATTGGGCACAATTTTAAACTGAAATTGAAACCCATTGACTAACTAAAGGAAGTTATTGCAGTGCATTTTGAGGTGTGCTGCCTGAAGAGGTGTCTCGGTAGGCAGCTGTCTGTAGGTGTGGTTTGTGTTGATTGTGGCGTGTGTTTTTGGTGCAGTGCTCGGTGTCGTGTGGTGTGGGTCGCTCCACGCGGCGGGTCGTGTGCATGAGCTACCATCATCAGCTGGACGAGTCGTTCTGTGACCCAGACGAGCGTCCCAGCACTGAGCAGGAGTGTGCGGCCGCCCCCTGCCAATCCTCCTACCACTGGCCCAACAACCAGCCCCACTTCCCCTACGACCCCAGCAGCCACAGCTGGAACGTCCCGTCTGCAGACAACCAGTGGAGGACGGGGCCCTGGGGAGCCGTGAGTGACACCCTCACTTACTCTGCTTCATGTTAACATTTAACATTTGTAATACAAAACAATATACTTAAATGATGCATAAAATATATATGAAATTCATAGTTGAGTAAAAGTGTATTTGAATTTAGTATATATATATATATATATATATATAATAGTGTATTTTTATTAATATAATTATTGGTAAATTTATTAATATTATTAATTCATACGTGTGTGTGTGTGAGAGTGTATATATATATATATATATTTAGCAATTTTACTCAATCACTGATGCAATGTGCTTTTCATATTACAGTACTGAGAATTAGAGGTGAAATGTGTTGAACTGGCATTGAAATAATTTCATAATGCAAAAAAATAATGCATTCGGGTCTGTTGTGAGCCAAACTAAATACATAAACATTTCTTAAAACTGCATAGTTTTTAGTGAGGCAATGACACTTTGCAAATATGTTAAGGACTTCTAAATATGCATCATGATTTTTTTTTCAGATTTTTGACAGTTATTTTTTAAGAGATATAACACGTTTCGTGTTCGGGTCATTTTTGACCCGGGTATGTATGGAGCACCCCTAGGTGTCAAAAATACTTATCTATGAAATTACATTAGTGTCTAAAAACTGTTGTAAAATATATTTAGCCTTTTTCACATATCTCAAAACACTTTTGGGACTGATTTTTGTTGATAAATATAAATATGTGCATCTATTGATGAACCACTGCAGCATAAAAAAATCATCACTTTAATTAAATTAAATTCCATTCATTCCAAAGGGATTAATATTGGTAATTCTCAGATTATATATTTTTATACATTTAATACAATAATATATTCAAATACAATTTCTCATCAATATTGTAAAAAATATATAGTTATTTTGCATCATAGTTTTTTTGTGTTGTTCATGTGTAATTTGAAATTTCAAAGATTATCTACATTTTATTTATTAATCAATAACATTAAAAAAAAATCACATTCACTCATTAATGAGAAGTTGCTGATCAGATACAATATATTGGGAAAATATTAAATGATGACTTTTTTTTATTAAATAAAAATATTTTTTATGCATAATGAGGCTTCATTTTCTTTATGCAATATATAGGATTGAATAAACTTTATTAATCCCCAAAGGGAAATTGCCATACACTCAAACATTTCTCACATTATCACAGTTTATTCACTACAGTTTAGAAAATGCTAATAAAATATGAGAAGCACTCAGAGTTAAACCGTGTCAGAAGAAATTCAGCTTGATAATGTCAGATAACTTTGATAGAAAGCTATGGAATGAATTCAGCTGAATAGCTGTCAGCTGTTAAATTCAGGCACACAATTAGATAAAACTAACTTAGCTCAACTAATCACCAAGCAATGCTTCATTTTCTTCAGTTGGTGGTGTAAAAAGCTCGCATTAGCAATTAAAGAAAAACACTTCAGCAGAGCATGCTCAGGTCAAAGTGTCTGAATCATTTTTGATCCCAGATTTTACCGTTAGTCCACTGTATGAAGTATAATATGTCACAGTTCACTTTATTTTGCTATCCTCACTTACATAAATTATATGTATATGTCCTGCACCCACTAGTAAAAAAATATGTGACCCTGCAGCACAAAAGCAGTGTTAAGTCGCTGGGGGATATTTGTAGCAATAGCCAACAATACATTGTATGGGTCAAAATTATAGATTTTTCTTTTATGCCAAAAATCATTAGGATATTAAGATCATGTTCCATGAAGATATTTGTAAATTTCCTACCGTAAATATATCAAACTTAATTTTTGATTAGTAATATGCATTGCTAAGGACTTCATTTGAACAACTTTAAAGATGATTTTCTCAATATTTAGATTTTTTTGCACCCTCAGATTCCAGATTTTCACATAGTTGTATCTCAGCCAAATATTGTGCTATCATAACAAACCATACATCAATGGAAAGCTCATTTATTCAGCTTTCAGGTGATGCATACATCTCAATTTCAAAAAATTGACCTTTATGACTGGTTTTGTGCTCCAGTGTCACATATCAAAAACGATATGTGGTGTCTGAGTAGTTTTTGGTTTGACAGTAGATGCTGGTGTCTTGTGTTTGTGCTCAGTGCTCCAGCTCGTGTGACGGTGGCTTCCAGCGGCGGGTCGTGGTTTGTCAGGACGCAGACGGACGCAGCACCAATCACTGCGACGAGAGAGTCAAACCCGACCAATCCAAGAGCTGCGACTCCGGACCCTGTCCACACTGGAACTACGGCGTCTGGGGACAGGTCAGACACACAATACCTGCGCATTCAGAGAGTGCTCATTTAATGTTAACATAATTAACACTACATTAATATTACAATAAACATGACTTGAAGTTCATTAAAATGCTGTTAAAATATAATCATTATAATTATTATTCATTATAATATCCATATAATATTATGTTTATTTTTAATAATTCTTAATTAGTTTATATGATAGTATTTGTAATAATACAATTCTAATTTATTTTAATTAATTTAGTTTTATTCATTATAAAAATAATTGTGTATTGTTTTGTATTCCACAGTGTTTAACGAGTCAAGAGACACGTTGATTATAAATATTAAATACTATTATTTAATGCAGTAATATTTAATAATATTATTTATTCATTACCAAAACAAATCTCAGCATGGACTATTAATATTTCTATTAACATTTATTATATTTATTTAATATGTTTTAATATGTGTATATATAAAGATACACACATACAGTATATATTTAGAAAATATATACATGTATTTACATGTCTATATTTATATCCGTATAATTTAAATTATAAATAAATAAATATATGTATTATATAAATATAACATATTTGCTGAAATACATACATGCATGTGTGTGTATTTATATATACATAAAAAAATATACAAAGTACACACTCATATATTATGTAAACAAAAACTTTTATTTTGGATGCGATTAATCGTTTGACAGCACTATTTTTAAATAATTACTTTAAGTAATAATAATAATAATATATTTTATTATAATCCACAATGTGTTCAACAACTCAAGAGAAGTATTGATTATAAATATTACATTTCAGTAATTCAGTACCGAAACAAGTTTCAATAAGGACTATTAATAAATTTGATTATATTTATGTTTTCATATTTCATATTATATTGATAAATTATATTTATTTAATAACAATATCATTATTTTGATAATATTTGCATACTAATGTATTTAAATTATTATTTGTATTAATTATTACAATAATTTTGTATTTCTTATATAATCCACAATGCTCAGTATAAGTCAACAGCAATACTGCTTAAAAATATTATATATGATTAATTCATTACCAGAAAGAGTTCTTTTTCATTATTTTGAGTGGAAATAATAATAATAATATTTTTGTTGATTATCAATTAATAAATTATAATTGTATAATAATAATAAAATTCATTATTATAAATAATATTTTATTATTTTACAATCCAGAGAGAATTATTGATTGTAAAAATGAAATAAAATTCAATCAGCATTGAGTAAGAGTATCATAAATATAGATAAATGAATTATGAAACTACAGTTTAACTCATTATTGATGTGTGTGTTTTTGAGTGTTGCATCTTTAGCTTAGCGACAGGATAAACTGTACTGGAGTCTCTTCTGCCTGGTTTATGAGTTGAGAAGCTGAAGTGCTGATGGTGGAGTGTCTCTTTGTCTCTGTCCTGTAGTGCTCACGCTCGTGTGGCGGCGGTCAGCGCACGCGTCTGGTGGTCTGTCAGCGCCCGAGCGGTCAGAGGTTAAACGAGCCCAGCTGCGATGCTCTGGACAAACCGGCCGATGTGGAGCGGTGTAACGGCCAGCCCTGCGCCGCCGCCGCGGCTTCATGGCACAGACGAGCGTGGAAGCCGGTACGATAGATAGCAGCTGTCTGTGTGTCTGTCTGTCTGTCTGTCCATCAGACGCCCAAAGACACGCCCAAACAGGGTTCACGTTCAGTTAAAAGCACGCCCAGACCTCGCTCACAAACACCAAAGATCAGGAGCCGGTTACATTCACTTAGCCTCTATGTTAAAGGGATAGCTCACCCAAAAATGAAAATTCTGTCATTAATTACTCACCCTCATGTCGTTTCAGACCCGTAAGACCTTCGTTAATCTTCGGAACACAAATGAAGATATTTGTGATGGAATCTGAAAGTGTCTGACCCTCCCATAGACAGCAACACAACTGAAATGTTCCCAAGTCCAGAAACGTTGCAAGGAGATCTGTAAAAAAATCAGGGGTTCAACCGTAATTATATGAAGCTACGAGAATACTTTTTGTGCACAAAACGACTTTATTCAACAATTCGTCTCCTCCGCATCACCCTGTAGTGCCATTTTGGAGAATATCAGCTGGATGTAAACAGCGTATGCTGTTCTGTGTCAGCCGCGTCACACGGATACACTGTTTCCTACGTTGTTGTGATTTGATCTGAACGGAAACAGTGTATCCGTGTGACGCGGCTGACACAGAACAGCATACGCTGTTTACTTCCAGCTGATATTCTCCAAAATTGAACTAGGGTGATGTGGAGGAGACGAATTGTTGAATAAAGTCTTTTTTTTTTCTTTCTTTTGTGCACAAAAAGTATTCTCATAGCTTCATATAATTGCGTTTGAACCCCTGATGTCACATGGATTATTTGACAGATCTCCTTGCTACGTTTCTGGACTTGGGAACATTTCAGTTGTGTTGCTGTCTATGGGAGGGTCAGACACTTTCAGATTCCATCACAAATATCTTCATTTGTGTTCCGAAGATGAACGAAGGTCTTACGGGTCTGAAACGACACGAGTGTGAGTAATTAATGACAGAATTTTCATTTTTGGATGAACTAACCCTTTAAGACAGTTTCTTAAGAACCAACTAGCAGTTAACCAGTAGACTAATCTACGTTTTTATGTAACCGAATTTTATAAATCTCAAACAGTCTTAAAGAACAAAATGAGATGACTAACTTTTAAGACTAGTCTAAACCTTTTATGCAACCGGCCGCAGCTGTTTACCGTTTTGTTTAGAATCAGTATTTTGTCTTGTTTTCCAATACAAATATCTAAATATTCTTAAACCAACATGCATTTACACGAAATGCAAAATTACTTAAGGTATTAAGTCTTGTTTTCTAAAAAATGCATCAAAATGAAATCAGTTTTTGCTTAAAATTAAGTAGTAAATAAATAAATATACACATTTAAAAAAAAACTAAATTTAAAAATATAAAAATATATTTTTCTGAACCCATTCTGAACCAATTTGCTTTTTAAAAAAATAAATACAATTTAAAAATAAAAAAAATACTTTGCTGAATCCATTGGTAGGTGTTTGTTCTTGTTTTAAGTCAGAGGCGGACAGTAGTGAAGTATTTTTACTTTACTCAAGTAAATTTACAATTATCTGTAGTTTATCAGAGTATTTTTTACTTCACTACGTTCCAAAGCATAATGTCTTACTTTTTACTGCACTACATTTCATAAATAAAAGTTGTTGTTTGTTTTATCTTTCATACTTAAGAACATAAAAAATGTAGTACTTTCTCGTACTCAAGTAAATCTTTCAATTACTTTTACTTGAGTAAAAGAAAGAAAGTAATAGATTTCTAATGTAATTAAGTATAAAATGATATTTAATATGAAACATAGTGCAGTAAAAAAAGTGCAATATTATGCTTTGGAATGTTGTGAAGTAAAGTTTTCTAAAGAAAAACACTAATAATAAATATAAATAAAGATAAAGATAAAGATAAAGTACTGACACTTGAAAAGTACTTTTACAGCAGAGTAAAAATACTTCACTACTGTCCGCCTCTGGTTTTAAGCGAAAATTCACTTAATTTTGGTGCATTTTGCAGAAAGCAAGTCTGAATATCTCCTTTAAATGCATCTTGATTTAAGACTATTTTGTACTGGAAACAAGAAAAAAAAATATTTTTTTGCAGTGAATCTTCGGGCCACCTAAGCAGATTAAAAACAGTGATTAAAAACGTGTTCGCACGCTCTATGAATCAGAGGAAGCGTGTCTGAAAAACAGAGAAATAAATCGTGCAATTATATTTGTACTCGTTTGAGCTGTAATCTAAAAACACAAGTGTATATTTGTGTATAAGAGTTTAATATTTGAATTATTATTATTATGACAATTACCCAGCAGCCACTTATTGTATATTATATTTGTATCTTTGTACAGAATGAGTATTTTTTAAATCATCAATTCGTCTTATATTATTTAATATTTCAAACTGGTGCTCGTGACGTTGACTTGTACAGAGGAAAATAATTTTTTGTTAGTGCTTTGTTTTTATTTTGATCGCGATGTGAAATTAGTTTTTGGAAGATCTGCAGTTTTATGTTTTTCAACAGAAATCGTGGCTGCAGGATATAAACATATCTAAGTATAAATAACCACACTTTAGTTAGTTTGACAAGCGATTGCGACACTTCGACGGGGACTGAAACACTCAAGGAAAACTTGATAAATGACAAATGAAAGAAATACCTCATCGTTCAGTCTTTGTCTCAAAATGCACTCGCAAAATGTAATAAAGCAGAAATGTAATAAAATCAAACGACCAAAGATTTCAGCCTCGTCTAACCCTCATAATGCATTCAGCATCTTGTTATTTCATAAAACTGAATATTTTTCAGCTAAAACCATATTGTGTTTAATCAGTGACTTCTTATTAATAAGTAAATATGAAAAAAATTATGTTATTACTGCTTTTACTAATTTATATTAATTAAAAATCAAGAAATTCTTTGAAATTTCAAATGAAGCATGAACCACACCAAAAAAAATCTATGATGCAAAATACCTATATATTTTTCGCAATATTGATGAGAAATTATATTTGAATTTATCATTGTATGAAATTTATAAAAACGTGCAATCTGAGAATTATATTAACAGTTTTAACTGCATTGAAGTGAATGGAATTTAATTCCTTTTAATTCATAACTCATGATTTCTCCAAAACAGCCCACATTTATGAAACCTTCATGTTTATTTCTAACAAAACAGCCTAAATATTACTCTGAAAAGTTTTCAAATTAGACAAATTAATTTTAATTGCATAAACTTTCAGTTCCCGATTTTAAAAAGTGATCAATTTGTCACGCCGCAGTGTTTTAGCAATAGACGTACATATTCATGTTTATCAACAAAATTCAGACCCAGAAGTATGTGAGCTATGGGGAAAAGGTTAAATATATTTCACAAAAGTTTTCAGACACTAATATAATTTCATAGATAAGTATTTTTGACACCTAGGGGTGCTCCATAAATACCCGGGTCAAAAATGACCCGAACACGAAACGTGTTATATCTCTTACAAAATAATTGTAAAAAATCTGAAAAAACCCAAATGATGTGTATTTTAAGGGTCCTAAAGCATTTGCAAAGTTTCATTCCCTTACTAAAAACTAAGTTTTACAAAAGTTTTTACGTGTCAAAATGCATTAAGAGGGTTAACGAGTGATACGTTTGTACTGCTCGTCATCAGGTATCAACACTGAGATTTGGTGCTAATTAGGATTGAATCACTAAGTTACTATTTACTTCATTGTTTGTCTAAATGTAGCGCTGAGTTTTGTTTGTATCATTGTTACTCAGAATTTGACTTCATGCATCGTTATTGTTAAGGTTGCAGTCGGTTTCTGCAAACGAAACCTTGAGAGCATTTTAGCTCTTATTTGATCAACTACCCATAATAAAACCACAACCTATCGACTTGTTCAGACGGTGATTGATTGACATGAGAAATTTGTATATTATTTTTATAGAGGGAAAAAAAGGAGAAAAGTTGCAAATTTTCGTGTTCGGGTAATTAAACCTCGTTCGCAGTGAATTAATTGCCATCTGAATGAGTTTTATACAGATACGTCACATTATTCTATATTTTTTAGATATATTTCTTAAGTTTCAGAACACAAATACCTCTTTTATGCCGTATGTTTGGTATGTTCGATTGTCTGGCCATTTCTAATAGTTTCGAAGGATTGTTTTATTTATTTGTTTACAGCCGGAGATTCAGTGCTGCAGCTTTTATATGCAAATGTCTTGTTTGATTGTGTTTTGAATCATAAAGTAACTGTATATTTGTCTCAATCTTCATTGTGCAGCGATCAAGCAGTTCATTTCTCTTCTCATCCGCTGGTTTCTCGTCTTTATTTCTGTTCATCTTGTTCTGGTTTCTTTCTCTCTGTTCTCTTATCGCTCATGATGATGTATGATTTTGTTTTTCTCATAAATATGTTCAACTGAACGTCCCACTCAGTTTGTTCCAGAACTATTTCACACTGTAATAATGATTAAAATACATAAAGGTTGTGAATGCTTGTGTTGTTTTCTTAGTCTGTTGGGCTTTTAGCCACATCTGAAGGGGTTTCTATGTTCATTAACGTTTTTATTTTAGCTGCTGTAATTCTTAATTAATGTATTATTTATAGTGGAGTCAAACGATTAATCCAAAATAAAGGTTATTGTTTACATAATATATGTTTGTGTACTGTGTATATTTATTATGTATATATAAATACACACCCATGCATGTATATATTTCAGAAAAATGTTGCGTTTATATATTAAATATATTTATATATAATTAAATTATATGAATATAAATATATACATGTAAATAGAAAATATATACGGTATGTGTGTCTTTATATATACATAGTATATAAACACAGTACACTCACATATATTATGTAAACAAAAACCTTTATTTTGGATGCGATTAATCGTTTGACAGCACTAATTATTTACCATTTTTAATCATATATATCATCAAAATGCTTTTTAACAGTTTTAGTGATGCATTTTAGCTATGCATCAATCATGTAACAATATTTCACATTATAATATGTAAATA